CTGTGTTCCAAAAAAGGGGTAGACTGGCAGAAGAGGCCACGCAAACCGAAACCCCATAATGGAGCCCTACATCTCAGGAGATGAAGACCCCCCAATGCCTCTGAAGTCAACGAAACTGGGGAGCCCCAACCCTCAACATCCAAAAGCCCTGGAGGCCCTAGGGGTCTAAGAATCGCCTGCTGCGAGACTTCGCCTAAAACGCGATAAACCAACCCCGAAAACTCCCGCCTCACAGCAGTCCTTTCTCAAGCATTTAAGATCTCGGGTTTGTCGGCCCTAAAGGCCCTTTAAAAAGGGGCCCCTGTATCTGCAAAGGTGAGATCGCCACCGCCGCGGCTGCCGAGCCACTTTGGCCGCAGTTAGTGGCCGCTGCGGGTTTAGGGTTTAGGGTTTAGGGTTTAGGGTTTAGGGTTTAGGGTTTAGGGTTTAGGGTGACGTCCTTGCCCCCCTCCCCTCCCCCCTCTCCCTACCCTTGCTTCTTTTCTTTTCTCCCACCCCCCCTTACCTCTGCACGTGCCAAGCAAGATAATATAATATACCCACCCTGAGGTGCGCGAGAAAAACCCTGCAAACAGCAGCAGAAAACAAACACCAACCAAAATCTACCATGCTGTAGCTCCTTGATTTCTGCTGTGTGTAAGCTGGGCCAGAGCTCGGAGGCCCGCTGCAGCTCGCCTACTGGTTTGGCCCGAGCTTTCCTACTGAGGGGCTTTAGGGTTTAGGGTTTAGGGTTTAGGGTTAGGGTTTAGGGTTTAGGGTTCTCAAGGGCTCTAAAGAGGGAGGCTCCCAAGAGCTTTTAAACGAGCTCCCGGATTGGGAGGCCTCCAGAGACTAGGCTCGCAAATTCCGAACTTGCATCCCCCAAAAACGACGTCGTTCGAAAGTCTCTGCCTAGGCTCTCCAGCGCTCTCGTAAAGAGACGGGGGTCGCCTTTAAGACGTCTACTAAATCAGGTGAGTTTGGGGGGGGGGGGGGGGCTGTCCCCAGGTAGGTATTTGCGCTTGCCGTGAAAGAGTAGCAACAGGAAAAACAACACCAACTGGAACTTGTTTGCCGTGGGGCAAGGGATTTTACACGATGTCGTCTTTATGGCACAACTCCGGAAGTGGCACCCCTGCTTACCTTGCTGATATTGAAGGATCATCACGAAAATTTAGGTTTCATAGGAACGCAGGTTGTATGATGTTCGTATGTCTTACAGAAAAGCCTGCAGTTTTGCCCGCCCTGCAATCCTGCCCGCGGCTGCTTCCGCCCCAGGAGGGATAAGGCTGCCGAGAGCTTTGCTGCCCTGGAGAAGGCCGTTTTTTGTTGGGGCTTCGGGGGTTCAGGGTTCAGGGTTTAGGGTTTAGGGTTTAGGGTTTAGGGGCTTCGGGGGTTTCGGGAGGCGGGGGGAGTTCGCGCACCATCCGCGTGCCAGCCGGGCTGAACCACCAAAATCGGTGGCCTCCTTCAGCTCTGTGGGTCTTCGGGTTGAGGGCGCACTGCTGTAATCCGCTCCAAAGAAGCCCTACGGCCACAGGCCTTGGCGGTGCAGGTGGAAGCCGCTCTTGGTGCTGCTGGGATGCAGAGCATTTTCGAAGCAGAGGGTTCGCGCCAAGGCTTCAGGGGCGTCTGCGTGTGTAGAGGGTCATGTGGAAGGGGCGGAAGACCAGGGACAAGTGAGTGTGGGTCCTGGACTCGGATGATCAGAGGAGTGAGGTATCCCAGAAGCCACGAAGTTTCTGGCGTCAATCCTGGCTTGTCCCGTTTTGAACCTGACCCCAGGACCTCACAGCGCGCACGGGCCCAACGGCACGCCTGTCGCGCGGCTTGCATGTGGGGACTTCAGTCAGGGGATGTTAGGGGTTTAGGGTCCGGTCTGGGGTTTTCGGGAGTTGGGACTTGGGATTTCAGGCGCTTGGATGCTTTCAGGTCTCAAGGGTTGTCGATGAACTTTGTCTGCGACATGACATGAAGGTGTGAATGTGAAATGCAGCACCAAGCCCTAAACCCCCATAGAATTTCCGAGTCGAAAGTTGGACTCGAGATTCCCAAACTACGTTTATTTAGGATTTCGGCTCCAAACCTTGGGGCTTAGGGTTTAAGGAGTTTAGGGCTGGGCTTGAGAATGCCAGTTTCCAAACAATTGGGTCCCCGTTTGTATGATGCCCACACATAGACTTAGATTCCCCCGTCGCCCGAGCCCATGTTCGGAACCTCCCCAGATGTGTGTTGAGCAGTTTGGGGTTCAGGGTTCAAGGGGTTTAGGGGTTTAGGGTTTAATGTTTGGTTAGTGCATGCACGTAGTGGTCAGATGAACGTGACCACAATCGCAGTCTTACTCGATGCACCCCCCCCCCCCCCCAAACCAGTCCTTGGACCCTAAACACCTCTACTCCTCCCCCATAAACCCTACACCCTACACCCTAAACCCTAACCCTAAACCCTAAACCCTAAACCCTAAACCCTAAACCCTAAACCCTAAACCCTAAACCCTAAACTCTCGAATGGACTCCTGCAGACCCAAAAAGCCACAAGCTGAAGGCCTGTTGAGCAGCGCCGGTGCGAGGACTTGGAGCTCTGAGGGCGTTCAGTAGGTCGTGTCGTGTTCGGTTTTGGGGTTTTGGGGTTTTGGGGTTTTGGGGTTTTGGGGTTTTGGGGTTTTGGGGTTTTGGGGTTTTGGGGTTTTGGGGTTTTGGGGTTTTGGGGTTTTAGGGTTTTAGGGTTCAGGGAAGATTCAAGGTTTAGGGCTTAGGATCGCATTCTGTTTTGTGAGGTTCGCACGCAGTTGGAACGCAGCTGTAGCAGCTTTTTCAGTGGTGGGACGGCAGTGGGCATGTGCAAGGCCATGACCGTGCGCGTAGCCATCCTGCTCTCAAAGCCGCCCCAGACCCCAACCGCCCCAACACCTGGTGCCCTTGAGCCATGGGCTGCTGCAAGAAGGGATGCTGCTCACCCAAAGTGCAGGCCATTGTGGGGCTGTGCGCAGCACCACTAAACCTCACAATCCTGATCTGGGGGATCACGGAGAAAGTGCGATGGACGCCCTTCTACGTGCCGATGGAGTGCACCACGCCGCCCCCTGACGGCTTGAGGCTATCAGGCCTGAGCATGCCTTCCCCGCTCGCAGAGGGAAGGGGCCTGCTGCCCGGGTCTCCCCCCTACGGCCTTTATGTGAACAAGACGGTCACCACTGCTTGCACCAACCCGGGCCAAGCGAAGATGACCACCTTGGCTGCAGGTTTCGAGGTTGTCGAGCTGGCTCCGAACGCCACGGACATGGCCAGCGGTGGCGTCGGCTTGCCGTACTCGCAGAGTGGCACATCGCGCTTGGCTGGCGATGCGGTCTACCCCATCGGTGGCCGGGGCGAGATGGTGATGGAGGTGGCGACAGCAAGGGTCTTGGACGACGTTCTAGCAGTCCTGGCTCCGGAAGCCACGGCACGCGGCTACTCCGTCACCTACAGTCGCATGACCCAGACGGTGCAGACGTGCGCTTCGGTCATGGGCATGGAGTCCTGCAACGACCAGGTGTCTGAGCAGTTTTGTGGCTCCTACGAAGGCACACCGCGGCACACCGCGGCACACCGGCACACAGCCCCCACAAGAAAATGATCAGAAATGTGTCAGCCACTGATCGCACTAGCCCTTGCTTTCTCTCTCCCTCGGCACAGGCGACTGTCTGGTGCCAAAGCTGGACTCCTCTGGGGCTCCCCTGGTGCCAGAGCAGCTGGAGTCCGCCATCTGCCCATACACCGGGTGCGCCCTACACCCTAAGCCCTGCACCCTAGACCGTAGACCCTAAACTCTAAACCCTACAGCCCGCAGCCCCTTGCAAACCTGTACTCCTTTATGCAAGAAGCCCTGAAGGAAGCTGTGCGGCAACGAGGCCGAGGTCCATGCCCAGTTGAATGCGGCTGCCATGGGGATCCAGGCGCGTGTGCATTGTGAGAAGGGGATTCAAAGGGGTTTGTTCTTGTTGTCACGTCGCTCGCTCGCTCGCCACCATTGAAGATTGAAGCCGCCAGGTGGTGAGCCGGCCGGAATGCGCGTCGTCGCTTGGCCTTCCCAATGGCACGCTGTGCAACGTCATCGAGGCGCCAGGCCTGGACTCGGCCACGAAGCGGCCCCGTGCCATCGAGACCGCCATGTCGCTGACCACGGAGGCCGAGGCCCGGATGACCGAGGCGCTTGCCGCGGCGGAGTCGGCCGTGACCACGATGATTTGGATCACGATCGTTTGCAACTCCATTTTCTTCCTGCTCAACCTGTCCTCCGGCCTCTTCAACCTCCGGAAGCACTTGAGGGCGAATGCTCCAAAGGCCTCGAGCCAAGGAGCTGCTCCACCAACCTTAGCCACGAATGATTTCGACACTAAGGCGTAGAGCTGGGGATAGCAGGGGTTTTGCACCGGGGCCAAATTCGTAGTTCGTTTTGGAGGGGGCCCAGCTCAACTCTGTGAGTCGCACGAAGACTTGCAATCGCTGTCCTCGTGGCTTCCAACATGTAAGTTGGTCTTAGGTGAGAGTGCAGCTGAGAGTGCAACTTTTCGATCTGGATCCCTTCCCCTGCAAGCGCCAGTTTTGTGCCGGATGCTTTCCAGCTCCGGAGCTTCTGATACAGCGTTGGCCCTTCGACGGCTGCGTCGGACAGCAAAGCTGCCCGCGCCCTCTTTCGCGATGGTCTTCAGCAGATTTGCACGCGCAGGGGAGATCCTTTCTTCCCAGCTTCCCAACGATTCGCTTCACGATCTTGGAAAGGCTTGGCACAAAATGTGGCGACGTGGTCTGGGCGAAAGCCTACCTACATCAGTATCGAGATACAGGGGAAGCTTAGGACGTGTAGGATGTGTGTGGGGAAATTTCAAAATTCAAACTATTTTCAGTAGGGAGTTTGTGGTTTCGTGGGATGGGGTTCTGTAAAGACGGCCCACTGTAGGCACTGTAGCACTACTGTAGCCATCCTGCTCTCAAAGCCGCCCAGCATACCCCAACCGCCCCAACACCTGGTGCCCTTGAGCCATGGGCTGCTGCAAGAAGGGATGCTGCTCACCCAAAGTGCAGGCCATTGTGGGGCTGTGCGCAGCACCACTAAACCTCACAATCCTGATCTGGGGGATCACGGAGAAAGTGCGATGGACGCCCTTCTACGTGCCAATGGAGTGCACCACGCCGCCCCCTGATGGCTTGAGGCTATCAGGCCTGAGCATGCCGTCCCCGCTCGCAGAGGGAAGGGGGCTGCTGCCCGGGTCTCCCCCCTACGGCCTTTATGTGAACAAGACGGTCACCACTGCTTGCACCAACCCAGGCCAGGCGAAGATGACCACCTTGGCTGCAGGTTTCGAGGTTGTCGAGCTGGCTCCGAACGCCACGGACATGGCCAGCGGTGGCGTCGGCTTGCCGTACTCGCAGAGTGGCACATCGCGCTTGGCTGGCGATGCGGTCTACCCCATCGGTGGCCGGGGCGAGATGGTGATGGAGGTGGCGACAGCAAGGGTCTTGGACGACGTTCTAGCAGTCCTGGCTCCGGAAGCCACGGCACGCGGCTACTCCGTCACCTACAGTCGCATGACCCAGACGGTGCAGACGTGCGCTTCGGTCATGGGCATGGAGTCCTGCAACGACCAGGTGTCTGAGCAGTTTTGTGGCTCCTACGAAGGCACACCGCGGCACACCGCGGCACACCGGCACACAGCCCCCACAAGAAAATGATCAGAAATGTGTCAGCCACTGATCGCACTAGCCCTTGCTTTCTCTCTCCCTCGGCACAGGCGACTGTCTGGTGCCAAAGCTGGACTCCTCTGGGGCTCCCCTGGTGCCAGAGCAGCTGGAGTCCGCCATCTGCCCATACACCGGGTGCGCAGCTACAACAAGCCCTGAACCCTACACCCTAAGCCCTGCACCCTAAGCCCTGCACCCTAGACCCTAGACCCTAAACCCTAAACCCTACAGCCCGCAGCCCCTTGCAAACCTGTACTCCTTATGCGAGAAGCCCTGAAGGAAGCTCTGTGGCAACGAGGCCGAGGTCCATGCCCAGTTGAACGCGGCTGCCATGGGGATCCAGGCGCGTGTGCGTTGTGAGAAGGGGATTCAAAGGGGCTTGTTCTCGTTCCCACGTCGCTCGCTCGCTCGCCACCATTGAAGATTGAAGCCGCCAGGTGGTGAGCCGGCCGGAATGCGCGCCGTCGCTTGGCCTTCCCAATGGCACGCTGTGCAACGTCATCGAGGCGCCAGGCCTGGACTCGGCCACGAAGCGGCCCCGTGCCATCGAGACCGCCATGTCGCTGACCACGGAGGCCGAGGCCCGGATGACCGAGGCTCTTGCTGCGGCGGAGTCGGCCGTGACCACGATGATTTGGATCACGATCGTTTGCAACTCCATTTTCTTCCTGCTCAACCTGTCCTCCGGCCTCTTCAACCTCCGGAAGCACTTGAGGGCGAATGCTCCAAAGGCCTCGAGCCAAGGAGCTGCTCCACCAACCTTAGCCACGAATGCTTTCGACACGAAGCCGTAGAGCTGGGGATAGCAGGGGTTTTGCACGGGGGCAAATTCGTAGTTCGTTTTGGAGGGGACCCAGCTCAACTCTGTGAGTCGCACGAAGGCTTGCAATCGCTGTCCTCGTGGCTTCCAACATGTAAGTTGGTCTTAGGTGAGAGTGCAGCTGAGAGTGCAACTTTTCGATCTGGATCCCTTCCCCTGCAAGCGCCAGTTTTGTGCCGGATGCTTTCCAGCTCCGGAGCTTCTGATACAGCGTTGGCCCTTCGACAGCTGCGTCGGACAGCAAAGCTGCCCGCGCCCTCTTTCGCGATGGTCTTCAGCAGATTTGCACGCACGGGGGAGATCCTTTCTTCCCAGCTTCCCAACGATCCGCTTCACGATCTTGGAAAGGCTTGGCGCAAAATGTGGCGACGTGGTCTGGGCGAAAGCCTACCTACATCAGTATCGAGATACAGGGGAAGCTTAGGACGTGTAGGATGTGTGTGGGGAAATTTCAAAATTCAAAATATGCTCAGTAGGGAGTTTGTGGTTTCGCACTGTAGCACTACTGTAGCCATCCTGCTCTCAAAGCCGCCCCAGTATACCCCAACCGCCCCAACACCTGGTGCCCTTAAGCCATGGGCTGCTGCAAGAAGGGATGCTGCTCACCCAAAGTGCAGGCCATTGTGGGGCTGTGCGCAGCACCACTAAACCTCACAATCCTGATCTGGGGGATCACGGAGAAAGTGCGATGGACGCCCTTCTACGTGCCAATGGAGTGCACCACGCCGCCCCCTGACGGCTTGAGGCTATCAGGCCTGAGCATGCCTTCCCCGCTCGCAGAGGGAAGGGGCCTGCTGCCCGGGTCTCCCCCCTACGGCCTTTATGTGAACAAGACGGTCACCACTGCTTGCACCAACCCGGGCCAAGCGAAGATGACCACCTTGGCTGCAGGTTTCGAGGTTGTCGAGTTGGCTCCGAACGCCACGGACATGGCCAGCGGTGGCGTCGGCTTGCCGTACTCGCAGAGTGGCACATCGCGCTTGGCTGGCGATGCGGTCTACCCCATCGGTGGCCGGGGCGAGATGGTGATGGAGGTGGCGACAGCAAGGGTCTTGGACGACGTTCTAGCAGTCCTGGCTCCGGAAGCCACGGCACGCGGCTACTCCGTCATGGGCACCTATAGTTTTGTGGCTCCTACGAAGGCACACCGCGGCACACCGCGGCACACCGGCACACAGCCCCCACAAGAAAATTATCAGAAATGTGTCAGCCACTGATCGCACTAGCCCTTGCTTTCTCTCTCCCTCGGCACAGGCGACTGTCTGGTGCCAAAGCTGGACTCCTCTGGGGCTCCCCTGGTGCCAGAGCAGCTGGAGTCCGCCATCTGCCCATACACCGGGTGCGCAGCTGCCCTGCCCTAACCCTGCACCCTAAGCCCTGCACCCTAGACCGTAGACCCTAAACCCTCTAAACCCTACAGCCCGCAGCCCCTTGCAAGCCTGTACTCCTTATGCAAGAAGCCCTGAAGGAAGCTGTGCGGCAACGAGGCCGAGGTCCATGCCCAGTTGAATGCGGCTGCCATGGGGATCCAGGCGCGTGTGCATTGTGAGAAGGGGATTCAAAGGGGCTTGTTCTTGTTGTCACGTCGCTCGCTCGCTCGCCACCATTGAAGATTGAAGCCGCCAGGTGGTGAGCCGGCCGGAATGCGCGTCGTCGCTTGGCCTTCCCAATGGCACGCTGTGCAACGTCATCGAGGCGCCAGGCCTGGACTCGGCCACGAAGCGGCCCCGTGCCATCGAGACCGCCATGTCGCTGACCACGGAGGCCGAAGCCCGGATGACCGAGGCTCTTGCCGCGGCGGAGTCGGCCGTGACCACGATGATTTGGATCACGATCGTTTGCAACTCCATTTTCTTCCTGCTCAACCTGTCCTCCGGCCTCTTCAACCTCCGGAAGCACTTGAGGGCGAATGCTCCAAAGGCCTCGAGCCAAGGAGCTGCTCCACCAACCTTAGCCACGAATGATTTCGACACTAAGGCGTAGAGCTGGGGATAGCAGGGGTTTTGCACCGGGGCCAAATTCGTAGTTCGTTTTGGAGGGGATGCAGCTCAACTCTGTGAGTCGCACGAAGACTTGCAATCGCTGTCCTCGTGGCTTCCAACATGTAAGTTGGTCTTAGGTGAGAGTGCAGCTGAGAGTGCAACTTTTCGATCTGGATCCCTTCCCCTGCAAGCGCCAGTTTTGTGCCGGATGCTTTCCAGCTCCGGAGCTTCTGATACAGCGTTGGCCCTTCGACGGCTGCGTCGGACAGCAAAGCTGCCCGCGCCCTCTTTCGCGATGGTCTTCAGCAAATTTGCACGCACGGGGGGAGATCCTTTCTTCCCAGCTTCCCAACGATTCGCTTCACGATCTTGGAAAGGCTTGGCACAAAATGTGGCGACGTGGTCTGGGCGAAAGCCTACCTACATCAGTATCGAGATACAGGGGAAGCTTAGGACGTGTAGGATGTGTGTGGGGAAATTTCAAAATTCAAAATATTTCAGTAGGGAGTTTGTGATTTCGTGGGATGGGGTTCTGTAAAGACGGCCCACTGTAGGCACTGTAGCACTACTGTAGCCATCCTGCTCTCAAAGCCGCCCCAGTATACCCCAACCGCCCCAACACCTGGTGCCCTTGAGCCATGGGCTGCTGCAAGAAGGGATGCTGCTCACCCAAAGTGCAGGCCATTGTGGGGCTGTGCGCAGCACCACTAAACCTCACAATCCTGATCTGGGGGATCACGGAGAAAGTGCGATGGACGCCCTTCTACGTGCCGATGGAGTGCACCACGCCGCCCCCTGATGGCTTGAGGCTATCAGGCCTGAGCATGCCTTCCCCGCTCGCAGAGGGACGGGGCCTGCTGCCCGGGTCTCCCCCCTACGGCCTTTATGTGAACAAGACGGTCACCACTGCTTGCACCAACCCGGGCCAGGCGAAGATGACCACCTTGGCTGCAGGTTTCGAGGTTGTCGAGCTGGCTCCGAACGCCACGGACATGGCCAGCGGTGGCGTCGGCTTGCCGTACTCGCAGAGTGGCACATCGCGCTTGGCTGGCGATGCGGTCTACCCCATCGGTGGCCGGGGCGAGATGGTGATGGAGGTGGCGACAGCAAGGGTCTTGGACGACGTTCTGGCAGTCCTGGCTCCGGAAGCCACGGCACGCGGCTACTCCGTCACCTATAGTCGCATGACCCAGACGGTGCAGACATGCGCTTCGGTCATGGGCATGGAGTCCTGCAACGACCAGGTGTCTGAGCAGTTCTGTGGCTCCTACGAAGGCCGGGAAAACTGCAGCCCCCACAGAAATGATCAGAGATGTGCCACTAATCGCACTAGCCCTTGCTTTCCTTTCCCTCCGGCACAGGCGACTGTCTGGTGCCAAAGCTGGACTCCTCTGGGGCTCCCCTGGTGCCAGAGCAGCTGGAGTCCGCCATCTGCCCATACACCGGGTGCGCAGCTACAACAAGCCCTGAACCCTACACCCTAAGCCCTGCACCCTAAGCCCTGCACCCTAGACCGTAGACCCTAAACTCTTAACCCTACAGCCCGCAGCCCCTTGCAAACCTGTACTCCTTTATGCAAGAAGCCCTGAAGGAAGCTGTGCGGCAACGAGGCCGAGGTCCATGCCCAGTTGAATGCGGCTGCCATGGGGATCCAGGCGCGTGTGCATTGTGAGAAGGGGATTCAAAGACGTCGCTCGCTCGCTCGCCACCATTGAAGATTGAAGCCGCCAGGTGGTGAGCCGGCCGGAATGCGCGCCGTCGCTTGGCCTTCCCAATGGCACGCTGTGCAACGTCATCGAGGCGCCAGGCCTGGACTCGGCCACGAAGCGGCCCCGTGCCATCGAGACCGCCATGTCCCTGACCACGGAGGCCGAGGCCCGGATGACCGAGGCGCTTGCCGCGGCGGAGTCGGCCGTGACCACGATGATTTGGATCACGATCGTTTGCAACTCCATTTTCTTCCTGCTCAACCTGTCCTCCGGCCTCTTCAACCTCCGGAAGCACTTGAGGGCGAATGCTCCAAAGGCCTCGAGCCAAGGAGCTGCTCCACCAACCTTAGCCACGAATGCTTTCGACACGAAGCCGTAGAGCCGGGGATAGCAGGGGTTTTGCACGGGGGCAAATTCGTAGTTCGTTTTGGAGGGGACCCAGCTCAACTCTGTGAGTCGCACGAAGGCTTGCAATCGCTGTCCTCGTGGCTTCCAACATGTAAGTTGGTCTTAGGTGAGAGTGCAGCTGAGAGTGCAACTTTTCGATCTGGATCCCTTCCCCTGCAAGCGCCAGTTTTGTGCCGGATGCTTTCCAGCTCCGGAGCTTCTGATACAGCGTTGGCCCTTCGACGGCTGCGTCGGACAGCAAAGCTGCCCGCGCCCTCTTTCGCGATGGTCTTCAAGCTTCTGCTCCTTTGGAGCGGTGTCAAATTTGCACGCGCAGGGGGAGATCTCTTCCCAACCAAAATGTGGCGACATGGTCTGGGTGAAGTGGTCTGGGCCCTGCAGGAACGAATCTTTAGCAAGAAGCCTTCAGCAAGAGCTTCGGGTAGACTAGAGGGTTCACAACAGACCCCGAAAGTGGTCCAAGAGGAGCGGGCCGCCTCAGCCCCTACGAGCGCTGAGTCAGGCGGGTTGGGATGGGAGAGATTCGACATAGGGGAGGTCTGACAGGTGTGTGTGTGTGTGTGTGTGTGTGATGTCTATGTGTAGGTGGAACACCATGAGCAGCCGACGCATGAGGGCCAGCAATCTCTGAGAACACCAAGATGCCCTACACCTCAATAACCCTAAATCCTAAGCCCTAAGCCCTAAGCCCTAAGCCCTAAACCCTAAACCCTAAACCCTAAACCAGGATACAAGAACCCTGAACACCAAACTGATGAAGCATGACGACGCCAGCGAGGCCTTCAGCCTCCAACCGAGCCGAGCCAGGTGGGGAGCGGAGCGCCAGCAGATTCCGCCGTGGGTTTAGGGTTTAGGGTTTAGGGTTTAGGGTTTAGGCTGAAGTAAGATGGTCAGCTCTCTTCAAGATGGTCCCTTGTTGGGGTCCTTTCTTATCGGGGGGCCCCTCTTACTTGTATGTAGGGTGCCCCCAAAAAGGGACCAGAACTTGGAGAACTGACCAAAGAGGTCGTTGGATTTTCATGTTTTCCGTGTATTGGGCTTAAGAGGATCTTTTCGGGCTGAAAGGCACCTAGGCAATGAGCGCCTCCGAAAAGTCTGATGGCACGTGGGCAATTCAGGGGTACAGGATCCTGTTGATGTACAACCTAAGCGAAGGGAGCACTCACTTGAAGCTTCACGGGCCTTCCACAGTAGGGTTACAAGTGCCCCAGAGACCGTGACAACCCCCCCTACCCACCCCCCCCCCGCTCCCGAAGTCCATTGCAGGTTTGCTGCACAATATTTCCCGCCAGTACTTCCCTCACCCCTAAACTAACCCCTTAACCTTAAATCGAACCCCCCCAAAACCCTCCGAACTCCTCAGCATTCTGCCCAAAGGGCGACATCGACTCCCCGAAGACGCTGACCGCCAAGAAGCCCAGGACCAGCTCCCCAGTCGCAAGGATGGGGGTCTAGGGGTTGAGGGGTTGAGGGGTTGAGGGGTTTAGGGGTTTAGGGTTAGGGGGTTTAGGGGTTTAGGGGTTTAGGGGTTTAGGGGTTTAGGGGTTTAGGGTTTAGGGTTTAGGGTTTAGGGTTTAGGGTTTAGGGTTTAGGGTTATAGGTTATAGGGTTTAGGGCTGTAGGGTTTAGGGTTTAGGGTCCCCGTTTTCCAAGCAGCCATGGCCGGTATCCACATCGCGGCGCATGGATTTAGGGTTTAGGGTTTAGTGTTTGGGGTTTGAGGGGCTTCAGGGTTTCGGTGTTTCTTTTCAGGGTTTAGGGGATTCGGGTCTTTGCAGAGTCTTGTCGCTGTGATTTGGGAATTTTGGGGTTTGGGGAATCAGTGAAGCTTGCTGCGCGGGCTTGCAGGTCTGGGTTTCACATGTTGAGGTGATCGGACTTTTTCGGCTGACAGGTCTGGAGGAATGCGGCGGTTCTGTTCGGAGAGTGTGAGCCCTAAACCTTATAACCCTAAAGCCTTGCATCCTGAGCAACCTCTTGACGTGCTCGGCCATCTCCACCCGGTGTAACAGAAGACGGGTCGCAGTTGGACAGCTGCCGCTTTTCACCAGGAATGAAAGCGAACGCCTCACGTGCGGTTCGAGCATCGGGGGTGTCTGAGGTAACCCTTAAACCCCGACAAACCCCTCAACCCTAAACCCCCTCAACCCTCGTCTGGCTTCCGGGTTAAGGATGCCCACCCGTAGCCCACAACCTACAACTCCAAGTTTTGGTTTGGGCTGCACTGGAGCCCTTTACTGCTCGGGGCGCCGAGGGCGCCGAGGGCGCGGGGGGCAGTGAGGGCGGTGGGGGTTTGGGGTTTTACTGCAGCTTACAATCTATCTATGTATCTATGTCTCTGTCATGTATCTAGCTATTTATGCCTCCACTAGCGCAAGGGGTCGGCGGATAAACCACTTGAAGCCCTAGGCCCTACCCAAGACCATACCGAACCCGAAACCCTAAACCCTGCACCGTACCAAGGCCAGAACAACACCAAGCCCTCAGCCTCCTCAGCACTAAGCCCTCAACCCTCCCCAGCCCCGAAACGCGAAACCCTAAATCCCAAGTTTGCAGCCCTCCTCTCAAGCCTTCTGCCGAGATCTGGCATGCCAACAGCCCACACCATGGACCCCAAAACCCCCAACCCTAAACCCCAAACCCTAAGCCCTAAACCCTACGCCCTAAACCCCAAACCCTAAGCCCTTGTGAGCCCTAAAGCCAGCTCAGGCTTTAGGATGCTGGGGGCGTTGGTGCCGGCCCGCCGTCTGCACGGGCTACGGGGCTGTGGGCATTCAGGGCCTGGGGAAGTCTCTGGGGTGTAGGGGCTTTAGGGTTTAGGGTTTAGGGCGCGGCTTCGGGTTTAGGGTTTAGGGGTTTAAGCCGTAAAAGCTCTGGGTAGGGGTTTAGGGGTTTCGGAGTTTAGGGGTTTAGGGCTTTAGGGGTTTAAGCCTTCGAAGCTTTTGGGACTTGTCTAAGGAAGGTTCATCCATAAAAAATTGCCGATATGAAAGAGGCCCATCTTTTTGGGCAGCGATTTCTGTACGCCCTGAAATTGAACCTTCACGGGACAGGATTGCCAAACCCTAAAACCCTAAAACCCTAAAACCCTAAAACCCTAAAACCCCAAAACCCCAAAACCCTAAAACCCTAAAACCCTAAAACCCTAAAACCCTAAAACCCTAAAACCCTAAAACCCTAAAACCCTAAAACCCTAAAACCCTAAGACCCTAAAACCCTAAAACCCTAAACCCTAAACCCTAAACCCTAAACCCTAAACCCTACAGCCCTAAACCCTATAACCCTAAACCCGACACCCGAAACCGTGAGCATGGTCCGGTGTTTGAGGCCTGCCTGGGCGTGATAAAGAAGCCGGAGGTGGATGAGCCTTCCTGAGCCAGCATGTGCGATTATGCCCTATCACCCCTTCAAAAGGCTCTTTAGAGGGTTCAGGGTTTAGGGTTTAGGGCTAGGGTTTAGGGTTTGGGGTTTGGGGTTTAGGGTTTAGGGTTTAGGGTTTCGGGTTTAGGGTTTAGGGTTTAGGGTATAGGCCCTTTACAGGGTTGGTTGTGGGGCTTGTAGGGCCGAATGGCCCATCCTGAAGGGCCTTTTCTTCGGCGGCGGCCAGAAAGGGGGAGTGGAGGAGGTTGGGGTTTAGGCGGTTTAGGGTTGAGGGTTGAGGGATGTTTAGGGTTTAGGGTTTAAGGCTTAGGGGGTTTGGGTGGTTTAGGCTTCAGGGTTTAGGGTTTAGGCAGTGTGAGGTTCGGGTTAAGGGTTTAGGGGTTACAGGGTACAGGGTTTCGTGTTTGCAGTGAGGTCTCGTCCCGAAACATGAATTACCTTGTTGAGGGGCCCATCGTTCCAGAGTGGCTTTGAGGTTGCTCCTCCTTTCAACCATCATTGCGTGCGTGCCCTCCGTCTGCGGGTGACAAGGCCTAGAATCTTTGCACCCAATTAGGTTGCATGACCCATGTTATTGCAAGTGCGATGCAGCTGCACATGGCAAGCGCGAGGCTACGTCAGCTATCATGAGGCCTCGGAAGGCTTTGGGAGTCGAAACATTCCCGCATCGCACGTTGCCTCCAACTTGTTGCGAGCACGAATCATCACAGCCACTTTCGCTCGGCTGGGTGTCGACAGATGTCGACCCGTCGAAGCCAGGCGTTGCAATCAGTCTGAGCCTGTCTCGGTGTTCCTCCCCATAGGCGTACCTGTACCTGGGCCCGGGGTTCTTCTTCGCATCCCGCCTTAGGCAACTTGCTCGTAGAGCCCCTTGCACAAGGGTGCTTAAGAACAGCTCCCCAGCTAGGCGCGCCATGGAATACCAGAACCGTGGCAAAAGTGTGGAGCCTTCACTGAGACAGGGCTCAAGATACCTGTGTGTAGGCATTGCACACCAATGATTCTTTCAGTTCGCCAACTTGCTGGCGACTGCCGGGGGTAATCCCCTCCCCCGAATTTATGGATTTTTCCCATACACTACACGCTACCAACAATGGGGGTATTGAATGTTGGGGGGGGGGGGGGTTAGACTCTACCAATAATGGGGGTATTGAATATTCGGGGGGGTGATTGTGATGTTGGGGGGAAGGGATGAATTGCAGCCAGAGTCTAGGGTCCCGTCCATCCCCCGAATGGGGGAGGGCTGCGCCACCTTGAGCGGCTTGGGTGCAATCAACATCTTGCCAGGGGTTGACCAATGTTCGAGTCCTTACACCGTGCGTGGGTTTAGGGTTTGGGGTTTGGGGTTTAGGGTTTAGGGTTTAGGGTTCAGGGTTTGGGGTTTAGGGTTCGCTGTAGATTGACTCCATCAAGTGTAGGCCTCCATTGAGCACGAAGTTGCAGGAGTCTTGAATTTAGTGGGAGGCCAGGCTCAGAATCAAACGGAGCGCGTCACACACACAAATACTCCAAGCTGCCCAAGCCTCAAAAAAGAACTTGGGGAACCCCCCTCCCCCCTCCCCCCCCCCCCCCCCCCCCCCCCCCCCCCCCCCCCAAGAACCCCATTCGTAGGGACTTAATATCTAGGGACGGAATAAGTGCGACTAGTATGGTCCCCTTAGAACCATACCACAATAACCCCCCAAACCCTGTTCTAATTATGGCCTGTTAGTATGGTCCCCTGAAAACCAAACACCCCCAAAACCCTGTCAAAATTATGGCCTGTTAGGGTCTCATGTTCAGTTCTGGCCATGGCGGGGGTTTCGGGGTTCCTGGGGTTGGTTTCCTTTTCTCGAAGGGGGAGCCCTTCTGACCCTGTTTAGGGTTTAGGGTTTAGAGTTTAGGGTCTAGGGTTTAGGGTTTAGGGTTTAGCAGCAGCATGAGCACCCCTTTGTTGGCAAGTCATGCCGTGGCCGAGAGCGTGCGGAAGGCTCCGACTCGACAATGGCGCGCACATTCGCAGATCAGAGCCTGCCTTTGTCAGAGCAAGATTCATACTGACTATTGCTTCATAAGCTGTTGCTGTTGCAGTTTGCAATGGTTTGCGAGTTGATACGTCATGTCGACCACGCTGGACCCTCCATTTCACGAGCCGGGTCCTCAATGCGCATGGTCTCCAGTGCCACAGCTATAGGCTAACTCGGGCCCCAGATGCGCTTCTGACCCATACGGGTGCACGTGAAAGACGTTGCAACTCTCCCACTTCGGTCCCGCTGGCCCAGGGTGGATCAGCGCATCATCGAGAGCATCTCCACCTACCGGAATGACCAGCGTGACAAGGATGAAATCCTCAGCATCGTCGAGGCATCTGGGCAGGGGCTGGTGCTTGATGCTCTTGGCAAGAGCATGTGGATGTGCAAGGGTCATGTCGGGGTCCCTCTGTAGCCGCTGTAGCCGCTGTAGGCACGGTAGCCATCCTGCTCTCAAAGCCGCCCCAGCATACCCCAACCGCCCCAACACCTGGTTGCCCTTGAGCCATGGGCTGCTGCAAGAAGGGATGCTGCTCACCCAAAGTGCAGGCCATTGTGGGGCTGTGCGCAGCACCACTAAACCTCACAATCCTGGTCTGGGGGATCACGGAGAAAGTGCGATGGACGCCCTTCTACGTGCCAATGGAGTGCACCACGCCGCCCCCTGATGGCTTGAGGCTATCAGGCCTGAGCATGCCGTCCCCGCTCGCAGAGGGAAGGGGGCTGCTGCCCGGGTCTCCCCCCTACGGCCTTTATGTGAACAAGACGGTCACCACTGCTTGCACCAACCCAGGCCAGGCGAAGATGACCACCTTGGCTGCAGGTTTCGAGGTTGTCGAGCTGGCTCCGAACGCCACGGACATGGCCAGCGGTGGCGTCGGCTTGCCGTACTCGCAGAGTGGCACATCGCGCTTGGTTGGCGATGCGGTCTACCCCATCGGTGGCCGGGGCGAGATGGTGATGGAGGTGGCGACAGCAAGGGTCTTGGAGGACGTTCTAGCAGTCCTGGCTCCGGAAGCCACGGCACGCGGCTACTCCGTCACCTATAGTCGCATGACCCAGACGGTGCAGACATGCGCTTCGGTCATGGGCATGGAGTCCTGCAACGACCAGGTGTCTGAGCAGTTCTGCGGCTCCTACGAAGGCCGGGAAAACTGCAGCCCCCCACAGAAATAATCAGAGATGTGCCACTAATCGCACTAGCCCTTGCTTTCCTCTCCCTCTCGGCACAGGCGACTGTCTGGTGCCAAAGCTGGACTCCTCTGGGGCTCCCTGGTGCCAGAGCAGCTGGAGTCCGCCATCTGCCCATACACCGGGTGCGCGCCTAAAGCCTCGCTAAACCCTAAACCCTAGACCCTAGACCCTAAACCCTAAACCCTAAACCCTAAGCCTTATAGACCCGAGACCCTAGTCCCTACAGCCCATCCCCTTGCAAGCTGGCGGCAAGAAGCCCTGAAGGAAGCTCTGTGGCAACGAGGCCGAGGTCCATGCCCAGTTGAACGCGGCTGCCATGGGGATCCAGGCGCGTGTGCGTTGTGAGAAGGGGATTCAGAGGGGCTTGTTCTTGTTGTCTCGTCGCTCGCTCGCTCGCCCGCCGCCATCGCCACCACTGAAGATTGAAGCCGCCAGGTGGTGAGCCGGCCGGAATGCGCGTCGTCGCTTGGCCTTCCCAATGGCACGCTGTGCAACGTCATCGAGGCGCCAGGCCTGGACTCGGCCACGAAGCGGCCCCGTGCCATCGAGACCGCCATGTCGCTGACCACGGAGGCCGAAGCCCGGATGACCGAGGCTCTTGCCGCGGCGGAGTCGGCCGTGACCACGATGATTTGGATCACGATCGTTTGCAACTCCATTTTCTTCCTGCTCAACCTGTCCTCCGGCCTCTTCAACCTCCGGAAGCACTTGAGGGCGAATGCTCCAAAGGCCTCGAGCCAAGGAGCTGCTCCACCAACCTTAGCCACGAATGATTTCGACACTAAGGCGTAGAGCTGGGGATAGCAGGGGTTTTGCACCGGGGCCAAATTCGTAGTTCGTTTTGGAGGGGATGCAGCTCAACTCTGTGGGTCGCGCGAAGATTTGCAATCGCTGTCCTCGTGGCTTCCAACATGTAAGTTGGTCTTAGGTGAGAGTGCAACTGAGAGTGCAGCTTATCGATCTGGATCCCTTCCCTTGCAAGCGCCAGTTTTGTGCCGGATGCTTTCCAGCTCCGGAGCTTCTGATACAGCGTTGGCCCTTCGACAGCTGCGTCGGACAGCAAAGCTGCCCGCGCCCTCTTTCGCGATGGTCTTCAGCAGATTTGCACGCACGGGGGAGATCCTTTCTTCCCAGCTTCCCAACGATCCGCTTCACGATCTTGGAAAGGCTTGGCGCAAAATGTGGCGACGTGGTCTGGGCGAAAGCCTACCTACATCAGTATTGAGATACAGGGGAAGCTTAGGACGTGTAGGATGTGTGTGGGGAAATTTCAAAATTCAAAATATGCTCAGTAGGGAGTTTGTGGTTTCGCACTGTAGCACTACTGTAGCCATCCTGCTCTCAAAGCCGCCCCAGTATACCCCAACCGCCCCAACACCTGGTGCCCTTAAGCCATGGGCTGCTGCAAGAAGGGATGCTGCTCACCCAAAGTGCAGGCCATTGTGGGGCTGTGCGCAGCACCACTAAACCTCACAATCCTGATCTGGGGGATCACGGAGAAAGTGCGATGGACGCCCTTCTACGTGCCGATGGAGTGCACCACGCCGCCCCCTGATGGCTTGAGGCTATCAGGCCTGAGCATGCCTTCCCCGCTCGCAGAGGGACGGGGCCTGCTGCCCGGGTCTCCCCCCTACGGCCTTTATGTGAACAAGACGGTCACCACTGCTTGCACCAACCCGGGCCAGGCGAAGATGACCACCTTGGCTGCAGGTTTCGAGGTTGTCGAGCTGGCTCCGAACGCCACGGACATGGCCAGCGGTGGCGTCGGCTTGCCGTACTCGCAGAGTGGCACATCGCGCTTGGTTGGCGATGCGGTCTACCCCATCGGTGGCCGGGGCGAGATGGTGATGGAGGTGGCGACAGCAAGGGTCTTGGAGGACGTTCTAGCAGTCCTGGCTCCGGAAGCCACGGCACGCGGCTACTCCGTCACCTATAGTCGCATGACCCAGACGGTGCAGACATGCGCTTCGGTCATGGGCATGGAGTCCTGCAACGACCAGGTGTCTGAGCAGTTCTGCGGCTCCTACGAAGGCCGGGAAAACTGCAGCCCCCCACAGAAATAATCAGAGATGTGCCACTAATCGCACTAGCCCTTGCTTTCCTCTCCCTCTCGGCACAGGCGACTGTCTGGTGCCAAAGCTGGACTCCTCTGGGGCTCCCTGGTGCCAGAGCAGCTGGAGTCCGCCATCTGCCCATACACCGGGTGCGCGCCTAAAGCCTCGCTAAACCCTAAACCCTAGACCCTAGACCCTAAACCCTAAACCCTAAACCCTAAGCCTTATAGACCCGAGACCCTAGTCCCTACAGCCCATCCCCTTGCAAGCTGGCGGCAAGAAGCCCTGAAGGAAGCTCTGTGGCAACGAGGCCGAGGTCCATGCCCAGTTGAACGCGGCTGCCATGGGGATCCAGGCGCGTGTGCGTTGTGAGAAGGGGATTCAGAGGGGCTTGTTCTTGTTGTCTCGTCGCTCGCTCGCTCGCCCGCCGCCATCGCCACCACTGAAGATTGAAGCCGCCAGGTGGTGAGCCGGCCGGAATGCGCGTCGTCGCTTGGCCTTCCCAATGGCACGCTGTGCAACGTCATCGAGGCGCCAGGCCTGGACTCGGCCACGAAGCGGCCCCGTGCCATCGAGACCGCCATGTCCCTGACCACGGAGGCCGAGGCCCGGATGACCGAGGCGCTTGCCGCGGCGGAGTCGGCCGTGACCACGATGATTTGGATCACGATCGTTTGCAACTCCATTTTCTTCCTGCTCAACCTGTCCTCCGGCCTCTTCAACCTCCGGAAGCACTTGAGGGCGAATGCTCCAAAGGCCTCGAGCCAAGGAGCTGCTCCACCAACCTTAGCCACGAATGCTTTCGACACGAAGCCGTAGAGCCGGGGATAGCAGGGGTTTTGCACGGGGGCAAATTCGTAGTTCGTTTTGGAGGGGACCCAGCTCAACTCTGTGAGTCGCACGAAGGCTTGCAATCGCTGTCCTCGTGGCTTCCAACATGTAAGTTGGTCTTAGGTGAGAGTGCAGCTGAGAGTGCAACTTTTCGATCTGGATCCCTTCCCCTGCAAGCGCCAGTTTTGTGCCGGATGCTTTCCAGCTCCGGAGCTTCTGATACAGCGTTGGCCCTTCGACGGCTGCGTCGGACAGCAAAGCTGCCCGCGCCCTCTTTCGCGATGGTCTTCAGCAAATTTGCACGCACGGGGGGAGATCCTTTCTTCCCAGCTTCCCAACGATTCGCTTCACGATCTTGGAAAGGCTTGGCACAAAATGTGGCGACGTGGTCTGGGCGAAAGCCTACCTACATCAGTATCGAGATACAGGGGAAGCTTAGGACGTGTAGGATGTGCGTGGGGAAATTTCAAAATTCAAAATATTTTCAGTAGGGAGTTTGTGATTTCGTGGGATGGGGTTCTGTAAAGACGGCCCACTGTAGGCACTGTAGCACTACTGTAGCCATCCTGCTCTCAAAGCCGCCCCAGTATACCCCAACCGCCCCAACACCTGGTGCCCTTGAGCCATGGGCTGCTGCAAGAAGGGATGCTGCTCACCCAAAGTGCAGGCCATGGTGGGGCTGTGCGCAGCACCACTAAACCTCACAATCCTGATCTGGGGGATCACGGAGAAAGTGCGATGGACGCCCTTCTACGTGCCGATGGAGTGCACCATGCCGCCCCCTGATGGCTTGAGGCTATCAGGCCTGAGCATGCCGTCCCCGCTCGCAGAGGGAAGGGGGCTGCTGCCCGGGTCTCCCCCCTACGGCCTTTATGTGAACAAGACGGTCACCACTGCTTGCACCAACCCAGGCCAGGCGAAGATGACCACCTTGGCTGCAGGTTTCGAGGTTGTCGAGCTGGCTCCGAACGCCACGGACATGGCCAGCGGTGGCGTCGGCTTGCCGTACTCGCAGAGTGGCACATCGCGCTTGGCTGGCGATGCGGTCTACCCCATCGGTGGCCGGGGCGAGATGGTGATGGAGGTGGCGACAGCAAGGGTCTTGGACAACGTTCTAGCAGTCCTGGCTCCGGAAGCCACGGCACGCGGCTACTCCGCCACCTATAGTCGCATGACCCAGACGGTGCAGACATGCGCTTCGGTCATGAGCATGGAGTCCTGCAACGACCAGGTGTCTGAGCAGTTCTGTGGCTCC